AAATATTATTTAAAGGTTAAGTTTTTTTCTATTTGGTTTTATAAAATATTTACAATTAGCAAAAAATTCTTGTGTTTTAGATTTTTTAAGAATTGACTTTGTTTATTTCAAGTTTTTCTCAATTTTGTTTAGATTAGACTTTGAACCTGTTTATTAGTAAAATTAAAAATCATTCAAAATTTATAAGAATTAAAAATTTAATTTTTTACTTTCTTTCTCTTCAGCTTCAAAATTATACTAAAACTAAACACTTTTTTGTTATTTAAGTTTAGAATTCTTCTGTGGAGATGCAATATTTTCTAATTTCTGAGGACTTTAACATAAAGGAGTTTTCTACCCATGTCCTAATTCATTCAATTTACTGTCTAAAATTTATTATTATTTTATAAATTGTGATTATTTAAAAAGAAATATTGTATTTATAGTCAAGTAAGTTGAAAAAGTAATAAATATTTAATACTAATTAAAATATTTTTGCAAATAAGAGATAGAATTTTTCAATAAAATTAAACATGATAAATAAACAAAATAAATTAGAAAAATTTATTAATTGTAAAATATTTTAGAAAAAATATCATATAAATATATACCTATTGATGATAATGTTTTAATTTAACTTTATTCAAGTGTTCGTTCTTTTTTGATATCAATTTAAATGTCTTTTTATCCATTTTTAGATTGCTAATCAGCGCTATGTTCTTAATTTAACTAACTGATCATCATTTCAATTTTTTGAGAAATTTCTTGTAAAAATTTGGTTATACAGTTTTTTGATCCTTTGTATTATCTAATAACATAGAAAGAAAGATATGTTTAAAATGATTATCATTTAAATACTTTTACATGCTATCTTTCTCAATTTATTTAATTTAACTGCCAATTTTGTCTAAAATTTGAGACAATTCTTTGAAGGTATCCTATATAATTTACAAGTCTATGTTGTTTTAAATTGAATCTAGAGTCATTTTCCTTTGCACTTTGCAGATTTTAAAATTAGATTATTTTTTGGAATTTAATAATTATATCAGCAATTAATTCACCCAGCCACAAATTTTAAGTTATTTTCAAAACAATCTTAATGTAGATTTTCAATTATCAATTGTACTCAAATCAAGGGAACAACGCAAGATTTATTTATTGAGATAGATAGATACCTTTCAATAAATTTTAGACACAAATTATTTTTGTGAGCAATTATGGTACTCTAGTAATAATGAATTTATTAAAAATATCGCTTTATGTATTTAACATATTTAGAGTTAATCATAAAAGAAAGATTACATCTATTACCTATAACCGTTCTTATCAAAACAAAAATGATTAAATTTTTTTTGGGAAAATAAAAGCTATTATTTATTATATTATGAAGAAGCTGTGGGAACTAAAGAAATTATAATCTATTATTTAGATTTTTTAAAAAGCAGAATAATTTGTTATTATTAATTTATTCCATCCAGCCACTAGAAGTAAAAATAAATAAATAAATAAATTCTGTTTAATTATATTTTAACAATATGGTACATATCTTTCAAGCTATATAAATAAATATCAACAAAATACTAAACTGGATACATAAATTATTTTTTATAAGATTTATTGAATTAAATCAAGTGATTTTAAAAAGTAAAGAAGCATTTATTTTGATATTTTTAAATAGCGCTATCAGTAATGATAAATAAATAATTGAATGAATGAATGAATTAATTTGATATTGATGTTTTTTGATAATTCGATTTATTTATTTTAAATGTCAATCTAAATTTTGTTATCAATTTCATTTTTAAAAAATAAACAAACCCTAAATTTTGTGAGAAATTTAATCATTTAATTAAAACAATTGAATGTTTGTTTATCTATTTACTTTGCTAAGAATTAGGAATAAAGCAAAATTTTGTGGTTTTTAATCATATAAAAAAAAATTATTAAAATTTTATTAGAGAATACATTCAGCTTTATCAAATGAGAGAAGCTGAAAAAAAAAGCAATTTTTAAAGATATTATCATTGATACGAATTTACTTAAATACTAATTACTTGATTTGAGAAAACTAATATCTATTCTAAGTTGTAAATTTTACATTAATGAAGTATTTTACTAATTTTCTTTATTATTTTTCAATTATTAAAGCTCTTTAATTACTCGCTTGAAAAATACACATATTCGTCATATAAAATAAAAAATGAGTAGGTATTTTTTTAATCTTTTAAAATAAGTTGATCTATCAATAAGTTAGTTTATTTAAATAAAACATAAATGTATATCTTAAATATGGCTTTCAATTTTATGATAATATAGCAATTTGTTATGAGAGTAAGATGTTAAAGACTTAAAGAGAGAAGTGTAAATTAATAATTATTGTATCAATTTTAATAATTAATCAGCTTTATTTTTAAAAATGAAATCTACATTTTTAGATTAATTTTCACTCTAAGACTTGTAAGAAAAAATTAAAATTAGATTTTCTAAATTGCTCAATCAAAAAATGAGAAGGTGACAAAAAACCATCAAACTTAAATCCTTTAAAATAGCTCAAATTGTCTAAATAATGAATTGAGCATTTGCAAAGTTTTATTATCAGCTGCATAAAAAGTGTAGCTAGCAAAAAATGTGTAAGTAGTGTATGATGGACATAAAAAATTTTATTAAGAAATAAATTCAAAATTAAAACTATACCTGTTTGTACATACAAGGAATAGCTGGACGGGGTACTATCAATCATTGAAACTCACTTTTACCCTCTAAAATATAATCAATCCTATAAAAATTCAAAATAAAATTTGCACATTTATTTAATACTCACAATATATATAAAGTAGCCTTAAAATTTAGATATTATTCTTTAAAACAAAAAATTAATAACTAGGAGAGAATAGGATTTTTAGACTACATAAATAATTAAATTATTTAGCATATTTTAAGCATAATATAAATTAATAAATATCAATCATAATTTTCTACTCATCTAAAAAAAAAACTTTTATTTAGATTTGTTAGATAGATGATGAAAAGAAATATATTCTTATTATAAAATTGTAGAAGTTGAAAAAAATAACAAGTCAAAATCTGATTTTTTTAAATAACAAAAATTACATGTTTTTTTATCTGAATCAAACAAGGAAATAATAAATCAACTTAATATTTATTAAGCAATAATATAGTATATATAGTTTTATATAAACAAAAATTGCTGCATGAGTAATAAATAAATAAATAATTGATTCATTAATTAGCTTAAGAATTTATCAAAATAAAAAGAACCATCTCATAATCATATTTTATTAGATTATTGAAGTAGTGAAAAGTAAATTAATTTATTTGTTTCTTTTTTTCCCCCTTTAAGATGATAAGCTTACTTGATTTATAATTCAACCTAGATTGCTATAATTTTTTTATTGTTTAGCAAAAAATAAGCTAAAAAGTACTGAAGAGATTTAATCATTTTCTTAAAAAATTGAATGATTGACAAATTAGAATATTTAGACCAAAAGATAAAAAAATCAATGTTCTTAAATTCTCCTCTTTTAAACCATTTTTATTATGATTTTTTAACAAAATAAAGATAATAATTTTTATTCATATTAATTAGAGTAGTGAGTGATAGCTCATAAAGAATTTTAATTTGTTATTTAAAATTGTCAAAAGAGCAATTATTTATTTTATTAAATTGTGTTTCAAAAAAGCAAAACAAACAAATTTACCCAGCTATTTATTTTTTAGATAACAATAGTAATAATTACTTTTTATTTTTAAATAAATAATATCATCAAAATTTTTTGCTCAATAAGTAAATTCTTAATTTATCAGAATTAATAAGTTGATTTAAATTATCAAAAAGAATCAGTTTTTAGTTTTAGAAGTTTTTATAGAAGTGAAAACAAAATTTATTTATTTAATATTCTTCATTTGAGATATTAATGACTACCGTAGAATACACAATAACTGGTAAAATATGATCTTAAACCCAGAAGTAAAAAATTTACGATGAATGAAGAATTTTAAGTAGCAAAAATAAATAGTAATTTTTACTAGTCATCGTATATTCTGTGGTATATAAATCTAACTTGATATTTTGTAAATTAAAAAACTCTTAGTTGGTAGGCAGGCAGGTAATTTATTTGTTTAACTAGAAAATTGGAAACCTTAGCAAATTTAGAAACTATAATTTAATTTTCTAATATAATATTTATAGCACAGTACGAAAATTAGATTTAATTATTAAATGAATTATATGACTAACAGTGCTTAATAAGCTGTATCAATTTAGATCAATCAAATTATTATTATCTTGCACTTATAATTTTTAATTTGCAAATAAACAAATTTATTATTATAAAAGTTTAAAAATTAATATTCTGTTAGTTTATTTAAGCAAGTTAACATATAAATATTTAGTTTATAAGTGATAAGAAAAAATATTTATACTAAATACTACTTGAGATTTAATTGTGATCAATAAAGCTAAAAAGCAAATAATAAATTAAAGCAAACAATGAACAGCAATAATTTATTATTATTATTATATGAATTAAATAATTAATCAGCGTAATTTAAAAATAATAAAGCTACATTTTGATATTTCGATATAAGTTATTAACATTTTAGACAGACTGTTAAATAAAATATTATTTATTCAATTCTCTTATTCAATCAAAAATGGAAAAATTAAAAAAATTTATTTATGTTTTTAAATTTCAACAATTAGCATAAATAAATTCAGCTTGAATTGAATGCATTTTATCAAATATTATTTCTCTCTATTTTATATCCAACTTTAATGTAATGAATAATGGTAATTTAAAATTTCTATACGTTTTTATGATATTTTAAGTGGGACTATTCTGTGTATAAAAGTAGACCTAATCTTAAAAAATCTTACCTAAAGTTGTATGGGAATGCTTTTATTTAGATTATTTGTAGTTTTTGCTTCAGTTTATCAAAATTAATTTTCGATTGTTACAAGACATATTTTAAGTAATCTCTTTCTTATCGTTTGTAATATTTTGCTTGTTTCGTTCTTTCTGCATTTTCTAATAAATTTCTAAAAATATTAAATTACAAACAAACTGACAAGTAATATTAGTATTATTTTTTATTTAGAGTATTTATTAAATAAATAAAAACTGCAAGAAACATAGAATTTACTGATCTACAGTTAATATAAAAGTGAAAGATATTTATTGATTAGAAACAGATCAATCTAAAATTGATAATCTAAATTAAAAATTTAAAAAGTAGCATTCTTAAATCTAAACCAATTAATTGTAAAAATAATAAATTTTAAGAAAACTTTTATTGTTAATCAATTCGTCTACCAAATATAAATAATCTATTATTCTGTAATACATTTTTATTTAATATTTTTCTTTAAAAAATAATTAAAAATAAATTGACATGCTATAAACTTTCTCATTGACATTGATTATATGATTTATCATTTATTGAACATCCTTGATATGATAATATTCATCAAAATTAAGCTTATTTATTTTATTAAAGTGATCAGTTTTCATTAAAGGACTCAAAATGTTTTGAATATTCTATTATTTATTAGTGCTTAGCTTACTCTTTTCAATAGTTTATACATATAAAAGTACAATAAGGATACATGGTTGCATAATTATCACAACAAAAATAATTTTCAAATTCGATAACATTATAATAACTATTGCAAAAAAAATGTCACTTAATCGTATTTTTAAAATTTTTATTGATATATATTCAGGGCAAAAAATCCTCTTCATTTTTTTCATCAAAATCATTTCTCTCATCAATTTATCAATTTGACATCTATTTTAAAAAATACCGTCTCAAAAGACGATTAAAGATGATTAAATTTTCAAACTATTGCCAAAACTTTTATTTAATTACTAATTTTATTTTTTAATATTAGAGTTAAACAATTACAGTTTATAATTAAACAGTATGTACAATCAAAAATATTATCTATGTTTCATATTTTTAAATTTTTATATAACATTATTGAAATTATATTTTTCTATATTTAGACTATTGTGATCTATCATTAAGATTTTATTAGCAGATTCAATTTTTGAATTATTTCTATTTTATATGGCTTTCTTAAATATGGTTTTCTCAATAATTATAAATAATCCTCAATATCCTCAAATGGAAAATTTTATTGTCTCTTTCTTGACCAAAAATATTAATTACTATTCAAATTAATTACCTTTAACGGTGATAATCAATATATTTCCACATAGAGAGACTCCATAGATAAAATCCCCAAAAATAGTACTGCTTAATATATATGAAATTCCAAATAAATATATATTAATATAAATTTGTAAAGCACAAAGGTGTAATGTAGATTTTTCAATTATGACAATTTTTTATTTTTATTATTATTTCTATCATATAAAAAATAAAAAAATGTTACTATTTACTTTAATAGATCATCAATTAATTAATTATATCTGAGGTATTTTTTTTCATAATATACCCCTGATCACTTAATTTTTTGTATTATGATAATATTTATGGATTCGAATATAGGAGAATATACAGTATTTAATCTTGCTCAAAATTTATATTTCAATTTGATTTACATTTAAAAGTTGAAGTATTTATTTATTATTCATAATAAATATTTTTAGGATTAATTTTAAATATTATCTGAATTTAAATTTTCATCCATTTTAATTCATTTTTTATAGGAAATTAACTATGGATACAATTTTTTTTGCACTAAAATACCGAAGTGATTTTTTATCATAAATAATTATTTTTATTAGTATGAATAAAATCGAAATGCATAAGAGATGTAATTATAAAAATAAGGTATGATTTTTGTAGTTCAAATAATAATAAATAATAAAAAAATATATAACATTTAATCAAACAAATAGCTAAGTATTAATTATCAATAATCATTTAATTGTTAACTATTATTTACTGAAATATTCTAAATGTTTTGCTAATAAAGGAAAGTCATATTCACTTTGTAATTAGATATTAAATATTTCGTATGGGCTATCTAAAGATTAAAATTAAAGTATCCTCGCCTCAACATCTTTTTTTAAATATTTAACTTAAAGATTGACTTCTATGCTGAAACTATCCTTAGAAAATTAAATAAAATTTTAATCATTATTAATCAATAAAATGCCATTAGATTTTTTATTATTGTTAATCAAATTTGTATGGTCTTTTAAAATAAAAATTTTATAATATTAGTTTTTGTCCTTAAAGATTGAGCATTTTGTAACGATTTGGGGTTTACTATTTTTATTTTAAGGATTTAATTAGGGCTACTAAGCTTATTTGTATAGAATCTTTGGCTAAAGAGTATTTAAATAGTTCTTAAAAACTCTGAAAATGTAATCTAAAAATTCATTTCGATGACTAATTATCAAATTCAATTAGAATTCATTTTTAATAACGATTGAACACTTTTGTTTTTCATTAACATCAATAATTATATCATTAATATCTTTCATTAAAAACTTTTTAACGTTATCATTATTAATTTTTTAAGGAAAAACATAGAAAAAATTTTAGGTCATGCAAATTATCTTCAATTCTTACTTTCCAGACTTTGATAATTTAGTAACTGATTCACTATAAAAGTAATTTTCTTTATTCTTTGAATTAATTTATTCACTTTATATCAAATTTTTAATGAATTCGTGATTTCTTAATTCACAATAATCTGTATCTGCCATATTTGTATTAAAAAATTTTTAATCTTCAACTGGACTTATTTCTAATTTATAAATAATAAAATAATTAAAATAAATTAAAGTAATTCCTTTAAAAATTTATAAATTATATAATGATTTAAAATTGATTTAATAAATAAATAAATTATACATATTTTAATTTTTACAAAAATCCACCCTTCAAAATTTTGAAATGTTTGATTATATTGTTGCGTTTATTTATAAAATTAACTTACTAGAAGGGGTAGAGAAGGGGATCTAAAAGGAAAGAGTTTGCAGTAAGTTAGTAAGTAAAAATTATTTTGATATGTAATATCGAAAAAAAAATTTGAATTAATCTTAAATATGTTTACCATGATCAAATTTATCTAGAGTTTTAGATTTTTTAAGTATCGATTTTGTTTATTCGACTTTACACTTTAGACTATTAATTGAATGCATTGAACCTATTTTTTATTAAAAGGGAGAATAAAATATTAGATCACCTATTTTTAATAACTAATTACTATTGTAATTAAAATATTTTATCATTTAATTCTCGTCATCATTCTCTTCTTTTTATCTACTGTCATCAAATATGTCTTTTTATTTTATTTATATATAAATAAATACTATTTAAATGAAAATAAAAAAATATATTGTAATTATTAAAAAAAATGTAAGAGCAAAATTGTTTAGCAAAATTAATCACATATTTTGTTTGTTATTTTGACTATATTTTAAATTATTTACTCAGATCAATATTTATAAAATAAAATGTAATATTTTTATGATTAATGATTTACTTTTTTCTTGAATGCTAAACTAGAATGTAACACTTTTTTACAATTTAAGATTTGAACATTATATTATTTAAAAGGGATGGTCTATATTCTGAGGACTTTGTTTATTAATTGATTTTTCTGTTTCTTCTTTTATATTAAAATTAAATTTATTAATTTTTTAATCAATAAAATTAATAATTCATTTTGTTAGCTTCAGTTATTAAATTTACAAAAAATCAAATAAAATAAATAAGGTAGTATAATCTATTAAATTGAAATTTAAAAATTTATATAAATAAATGCAGATAATTAAATAAATCTAAAAACAAACTTTAAAAGATGAGAATTAGGATAATAATTCACTCTCTTTAAAAATATCAATGAAAAAAGTATAACAAATTAGATTGTAATTTCAATTTCACCTTACCCTGAAACAAGCTTTTTTATTTTTTTTCAAAAATTGATCCTTTTTTTATATTGGTGCAAAATTATGTTTCTTAGCTTTTAATTTTTTAATCCTTGAGATTATGGGAATTTAATGATCTAGCAATCTTTTCAATTTTCTAATTCAGCATTTAGACATGTTTCACAATAGCGTTTTCTGACTTTTTGTATTACCTAATAAAAAGTAAAACAATTAAGTTGAAAATATTTTTAGATAGAAAATGATTTATTTATTCTTACTCGTTATCTAATTTGATTTATTAGATTTGCTATTCAATTTTGTCAATAAATTGAGACAATCCACTCAAATCATTAATTAAAACTTAAATATTAGCTTTATTATCAAGAGTTTCTGCAGACATATTTATTATTTTCCAGATTTGTAAAAAAGAATTCTTTTAAAAAATTAATTATTATAAGTGTGTATTTCTAATCAATTTATTAGTACAAAATCAAAAAAATTAAAAATATACACAGTAAAAATTCATTATAATAAATGTAATCAAAGCTATTTTATTTGATAAAAATAATTAATTGATTGACAATAGAAAACCCCTCAAAACATAGAATTATTTTTTTTATAATAAATTTTCACAGTATATAAATGAACAAGCATAAAAATAAAAGCTAAACATAAATTAGCATTAAGTAAAAATAAAATTATTTATATGAGTTTGTTTCTAAAAATATATCTTCATTCGTAAATATTCGAGAAAATAAAATAATAATACATATTACAAGTTTGCTTTATTCATAGTGTTAATTTTACATAAGTATATAAATTTGCAAAAAAAACATCTTTTAGTGAATCATGAAGTGAAAAAAACTTTAAAAAACTGTTCCAGTCAATACTTTTTTAATGATTGATTTTGTTAAATTGAAGAACTGATTATTTATCATTAAGCAAAATATTGCTTGTTTATAAATTTAGTTTTAACATTTTTACTAATTTAACAAAGTTAAAAATTAATGATTGATCATTCAGAAAAATATTCAAACATTTAAATATTTTTAAATTTGGTTTTCAATTAATAAACTAAAAAGAGTTTTGGCCATTTCAGTTTTATTCTTTTCAAATGATAAATTTGGTTTATAATTAATTAAAACCTAAAGTAATAAAATTTGCTCTTGTTTTCTTGCCAAGAGTTAATTTTGAGCATAAATTAAAGCCAATCAATAAAAAAGAAATCTTATTTAATACACATTTTTAAATAATTTTGCAAATAATAATTATATATGTATTATATAAAATGTTAGTAATATAATATTAATTTTATTATTATTTAATACAAATTTCAAGATTTTAATATCAGTTATAAAGCTTAATTGAAAGAATTACGAATAATTATTAATAACAAGGTTTATTTAATTTATATTTATTTTTTATGTTTTTGTTTTTACTAAAAACTCAAGCTTATTTTCTCTGTAAAATATATAAAAGATATATTCTATCAAATGGAAGGAAACATATCAAATGATTTAATTTCTTAAAAGTCGCCAAAATATTCATATTAAATTTAATTTTCATTTGTATTGTAAAATATTAAGTTTCATAGCTACTTAATTTACATACATTTTTTTCCAAAAAATCACTTAAATTATCAAAGAAATTATGATTTTTTATTGCTACAAAATGCTTACTATAAAAGAATGACTTTAAATTAATTTCTTTTTTATTCTAGCCATAAAAAAATGCACTCACAAATTAGATAACTAAACTGAAAGAGGGGAGAAGATTTTGAATTTATATTATAATAATTTTTTAATTTATTTTCACTAGTAATGGAATTTTATTACTTTAATTAGATCTCTTTGTTTTTCCCCCCTCTGTTTTATAAAAAAAAGTAAATTAATCTTTTTATTATTCGAATTATCATAAAGCCTATTTTTTGTATAATAATAAGAAGGTGAGAAAAATCAAATTATTTTTTAGCATAAATTTTGCTTATTTTGATTGATGTAAGTAACTCTGAGTGCTTTAATTTATTAAAAGATATTAATATATTAATTAAATATTACATGATATACTTTCAATGATATTTTGAAATTTAAGCTTACAAATTAGGTATTTATAATAAATGAAATGAGTGTTATATTAATCTATAAAAAACATTAGCACTTTGCTTACTATTTCATCACTGTCTCTTATGTTTATTGAATTTGACAATTCGTGAATTACATCAACACAATTTAAGATTATTTACATTTTAAGCAATCTAAAAATAAATAAATAAATAAATGAGTATGTATGTGTGTTGATATATTTTAAGACCATTAAATAGCAAAATAGAAGTCAATAAGATATAAAATATTCACAAAAAACTCTTTAAAAATTTAGAACATAGCATGCATGTTAAAGAAATCAAAACTTTATGCCAAAATCAAAATCAATAACAATTTATTTTCAATAGAAATTTATTTTTTTAAAAATTGCATTAGCATAAAACCAAAAATAATTTAAGTTATTATGCTTATAAATTCTAAAAATGAATATATTTGGATCAATCAAACATAATTTTTAAACTAGTATCATGATAATATTATTCGATATAATATTATTAAACATTTCAAAATTAGTATTTTTGCTTTTTGATTTTAAATTCATTTATCACAATCATTATTTGTTTGATTCAAAATAAAAATGAATCGTATAAATAAACTAATCGCATATACTTCTTTTTTAAATTAGAAACCTATCTTTGGATTTTAAACTTTTAAAAGTGAGTAAAAGCTAGCATGAAATACTTTATTTCTAGTTTCTTAAAAAGTGCTAAATAATAAAAATGTATGTGCATTTTATTTTGTAGCTGCAATCTTTATGATTATCTTAATCAATAATATAAAAACTAAAGCAGTATTTTTATTAAAAATCTTTAATTAATTATTCATGATTTTTTACTGATTCATATTTATATCAAAAAAATGTTAATAAGAAATAAAAACTAAAAGATTGAGGTAATAATAAACAAATTAAATCTAATATTTTCTTTTACATTAAATAAAGGCATATTTCTTATTAACAAATTAATTAATATGCTGAAAGTTTGTAAATTAAAATACTTCAAAATATTAAAAACTTAAACATTTTAAGATCACAAAAAAATTATGAATAACATTTTATATTTAAAAATCAACCTAAGAATTATAATTAATAAATACATTTGATAAAATCATATGATTAATTAATAT